AAAACAAGTCCTAACCCTATTTTCCAATGTTGGTTCCATCTTTTAAAAGTTAGTCAATTAATCAGAAACTCTAAAATATAAGGGGAGTTGCAATATACAGTATGAACTGAATAAACAATATGGTAAGGGTACAAAAAAACAACTTTAATTTAGGTTAAGCGTTTCTACAGATAAAGCTGGAATCATATTTTATAATTAAAAATGAATTTTATTGACATCACATCACTAGTATTTTATCCATAAGAAAAGTCCAAAAAAAAAAGCTAAATCTGCTGCAAGCATTTTTTACTGAAGAAAATAAAAAAAAGAATATTTTATTTTCTGATTTGTAAAAAGGGTTAAACAAATTAGTGTTTGTTGAAGTTCAGTACTAAGTTCAGTATTCTTTTATAGTAAGTATGCAGGCTTGAGAGGTAAAAATAAAACGAAAATATAATTTCTTTTTGTTGTGTTTTACTACACGCAAATATTCTTTGCATTATTTCCTAAAAGTATGTTAAGTCAATGGCAGTTGTTGAATGAAATGTGCCCTGGACTTCTGTGTGCCGTACATACCTGTTTCCCTAATGAGTTTTAAACTGATCAATTTTAAGGTTAGACTTGTTTTTTGTTTTTGTTTTTTGTAAACAAATCAGAATCAGACATACTTCAATTATCCCAGAGGGAAAATACTTAAAGCCTCTGTAGGTTCTGATATAGATATATATAATCATACAAAACATTGGAGAAATATATGAACAAAAATACCTAAAAAACAAAACTAAACTGTTGAAAAACTCACACTTGTACTTGTTATCTTCTGGTTGTCCTAGAAGCATTCTCCGCAAAGACTCCTAGACTTCCCTCTCCCCAGACACCTCCTCCAACTGTATTGTAGGAAGCCAGATGTGTTTCCAGGCCAGCTGAGAGACGTAGTCCTTCATGTCCTCCATGCGGGTCTTGGTTCCTCTTATCCCTGGGAAGTGCCTCAGATAACTCCCAAGGGTAGTGTCCACCGGGGTATCCAAAACAGTTGTCTGAGCCAACTCAACTGACTCATCTCAATGTGGAGAGATTAAGAGCCTCTCCCAGATGGCCAACCTCCTCACGCTATCTCTAAGGAAATGCCTGACCACCCTGTAATGAAGGCTCCTCACAGTGGCTGGTAACCAAGATCCTGTTCTTTTGGTCATGATCCAGATTTCATGACAAGCTGAGGACAGTAACGTAGACCCACTGGTAGATCAAAAGCTTTGCCCTCTGGCTCAGCTCTCTCTTTACCACTACAGACAGGTGCGGTGTCCACATTGGGGCCGCACCAATCTGTCTATTGATTTCCTGCTCTATTTTCCCCTCACTCTAAACAGGATAAAAGATAGCTAAACTCCTTCACTTGAGGCAAAAACTCTTCTTTGACCTGCAGAGGGCAAAGCACATTTATCCGGTCAAGAGCCTTATCCTCTGACTCCCTTATCCCTGCTGCTTCGCACTTGGCTGCAAACTGCCGAAGTGCATGGCGTTGGTCTTGGGAGGGGGTAACAATAATTGGAAGACAACAATCGCTTTCTCAATTTGTACCAACCCACTAAAACTAATGGAATATCTGTTAAATAGACCTAAAACTGTGTTTCAAAACATCCTTTTCAATAAAAAATAGTCCTGTACAGATTTGACCAGTACAAAGTTAGATTTTCTAAACAAGACATTATATGTTGATGTTAATTATGGTAAAAAAAAACAAAAAAACAAAAAATCTATGGGTGAACTTTGTACTTTTCTTTTCCTTTTACTGGATAAAACACATAGAAATATTTACCCAAAAACTACAACAAAAAAAAATTACAGTAATAACAATGATCTTTTTACCTTAAAAGTCTACAGTAAGTGCAATGCTGAGTATGAGGTAATATGAGGTCAGAGAAAAAGAAGGAACAAAAACAACCCCTTTCCACCTTTATAGTTTTTATTTCTTATATCATCATCAAAATTTTTACAAAACATTTTCTGACAATAATATACTCATATAAGAGCCATATTTTTGCGCTTTGCCAGGTCTTCACAAAAAAATGTTTTAGGTTTTAATACAATAAAAAAACAAACAAACAAAAAACTATATAGGAGTTTAGAAAAGTAACAACAAACCAACTAGTAAAATAAACAGTAAAGCGCATATTTACAACTTACATAAAAAAGAAAGCAATGTTCTGTGCAGGAAATGGACGGAAAGGAGATGGTGGGAATTGTGGGGCTGGATGCAAAGCATTTCAAAAAGGAGAAAACACTGAAAATAAATAAAACAAATAAAAACAAATCAAAAGGTAAATTGTTTATGCCCACATGGTAATAATGACTTATTCTAATATTGCTCTCTGTCAGGCAACCACTACTTTCCCTCACACCGCACTCTCTAGCCAACTGCTGGAGAACAACTGAACTCATTTAGATAAAAAAAAAGAAAAAACTTCTTAAGTCCTTACATTAAATCCAATTAGGGCTTTGTCAGACAAACGAAAATGGGTGTCTCCTCGACAGAGGTTAATGATCATGCCTTTCTTTATCTGTGCCACCTCTGACATGAACAATGGCAGAAAAACAAAGCTGGAACAACGTGGGTCGAAGGTTAAAGACTTTTTGCTAATGGGAAACAGTGTGGAACAATAACAATCAATGGAGCATGAGCTGGCAAGAGCATCAGTAATGGTGATGTTCGTTCAGAGGAGCTAGAGGAGTGGGTGCTGCTGTACAGTAGATGCAGACACACGCACATATAACGCACACAAACAGGATCTGGGTACATGCAGGTTAGCTCAATCAGTAGCAATGTTTCAGATCTCTCTAGCTTCAAAAAGTTAAATGTTTTAGATCCAAACACGTTGAACAAAGCCCAAAAGAATCTATCTGGATTGGCACATACAGAGCATAAGCATATTTTCTTCTGCCCAGTCCTGGTAACTATTTGTAGACATGCTTACTTCACTCCAAAGACCCACGAATGTGTGCTGTAGGGGCATACTCCAGTACTACCAGCTTGTAAGACACAGATGTATGGCAGAGAAGGAAAAGCCGCAAATCCATGTCTGGCTTGAAATTATTTTTTCAACTCTATTTATCAGGTAATATATTACCACCTAGTGAACCGTCAAAGATAGCCTTGGGTGAACTGGAATGGATCGCAGTGTCAAGACCCGGAGTAGGTTATTATCATTTATCAAGATAAATGTGATGCCTTTTTTTGTTATTACTTTTCTTCTTGTGTTTATATATGCATTTATGCTTGATTGTATCTGAACTAAACGCACAAGTCGATAGCATATTCTTGGTATTGTTGTATGTGATATGTTGTATGAGAGCATGCATAACTCAACACCTTTAAGAATTAATTTTGCTTAAACTGTGGGATTTGATTTGAAATATTTCCTGTGAGATTTTTAAGTCAAGATTTAACTGAGGTTGTATGTATTGTGTCTTACTGGGAGAAAACAATGCTTAATCTGGTAAAAAAGATAAAAAAAATATGGTACTGTAAGAGTAACGTTCTTTTTTTTTTTTATCCACCTGGTTACAGGTATACTTTATATCACCAGCCAGGCATTGGAAATTGTACAATGTTAATGTTTAATCAGGTTCTAAAAAGTTTACAAAGCACATATCAAGACTTTATTGACAATTTCCAATCTACATTTTTTGTAAAAGCTTTGACCTGCTGATACAGATTTGAGTGGGTTATAGTTTTAGGAACTCAATTGAAGAATAGCTTAAAAAATATTTAAGTATTGTTCTTGCCTCAGTGCCATAAGCTTTGGTCAGTTTTTTGCCCCTGAAATTGAAAGAGAAATTACCGTATTAAAGGGTTCAACTTTTTAAAAATAATTCTTAGTTTAGCAGCTACCAGTTTTAGCATACATCAAATTTAAAAACATGACCGCTTTGTTTACTGTAAAGAATATACATGCCTAAAGCCTAAAACTGTTATTCCGGTCCTCCAATGACTCCTCTGTGAATCTTTGCTTCTGGTTGTGAAAGGCTATAAGGCGCTTTACTAAACATATCAAACAGTAAGTAAAGAGGAACCCTTCCTCTCTACACTGTTCCTGCGGATTACTGCTTAGTTGAGCAGAAGAAAGTTTTTACAGTTAAGAATATACAGAAGAAATTGGAGGCTTTGGAATTTGTACTGATACAATAAAAAAATTAATGCTAAAAAAGGTACAGTTATTTAAAAAGAAAAAAAAATATATGCTTGTAAAATATCGGCAGCATGTTATTTAATCAGCCAATTGTAGGATTTATACCTGAGTATATAATTCAGCTACTAGAATTTAGGTTAAATGTTCATCTTTTTTCATTTATTAACTCATTTTAAGTCAATCAATATCCAAATACTTAAAAATGTTAAAATTATCTTATGATGACTGGTTCAGCAGTAGAATAAATAGAGTATAACTTTGATGTCCATCAGGCCCTCATGGTATAGATTTTTGTTAAAATATTCATGTAAATACCATGATACTGTAAAAACTATTGCCTAACCTTGGGTTATAAAAGCTAATACTGGCCCAAAACTAGTTTTCACCTCAACGTCTTATTTGCTGTGCCCTTCTCATTAAGCAGATGTATTTTTTTCTTATCACAAATTCTAAATACAGTACACTACCTTTAGTGGGTAATCTTTAGACTTAAACTCTCATCTTCTGAAATGAGAATACTTTTTTAAGAATGATTTCTGTGAGGACCTAAATTCTAACACAGAGTGTTTAAAGGGAAAACACTATTAAAAAACAGAGCAGGATAGAAATTAAAACATATTGACACTGCTTCCAGCTCACTGAAGGAAAAATAAATGGACCAAAGACTGGATAATTACTGGCAGCATAACATCAGTTATGTACATTTCCCTGTACATAACTGATTTTATCAGGGATGCAAGGATGATTATTCAAATGTTACTTTTGTAGCTTTGAACATACATATATTTTATTACAATTTTCTAACTACACATGGAGAACAAAGTAGCTTTAATCTTTTTTTTTTCCAAGTAAATTAAACCATTAATAAATCTTTGAACCTAATGGTAAAATTACATACCGAAGATTTTGAAAAGAGTATAAAGATAAATTCCTTGTCTGATGCCCAATGTAAGCCCTTTTTTTCTTCCATATTTTATAGTTTCAGGGAATTTTATTTTTTCAGGCAAGACAAGAGCATGAACAGGTCAGAGCATGAAATGCCTTTGAAACTGAGATGTTGTTCGATACATGTGCTGCTGGTTCTAGACTATTCTCTCTGGAAATATCTCCTGCGCTGTTTTTTCTCCTCCCGAGATGGACGAAATTTCCAAATATATAATCATGCGGACAGAAATAGAACTAAGTGTAACAGGTTCATCTGAGTCACCAAGCGGCAGACATGTAATTCGGTCCAGGGAGTTATTAGGAGTGATAAAGAGACAGCAAGACAATATTACATGGGTAGAACTGAGAAAGCTACTATTATAAAGACATTGGCACATCTGTAATTACAAAGTAAATTCCACCAGCACTAAAAAGCAACTGTATCCAGTGAGTGAACTGCATATTTTCATATAATGACCTTTACATAAACTAGAATGAGTCTTTAGAAGTTGTGATGCATCAATAACATTTGAGTTACCTGTTTTTGGGAGTGTTGTTTTTGTAAAACATACTGTATAGAAAATAATGGCACATCGAAAAAAAAAAAAAAAGAAACCCCACCTTTTCTTACATAGCTGCAAAATTCTCTACACAGGGAATCTTTGAATAGCAGATAGCATTGGATTTCTAAAACAAGATGAACAAACTATGTTACAAATAACAGATGGTTTGAACACTATCAAAAATGTTATCCCTCTTACATGTACAGGTGTGAGGACAAAGTGTACAGAGGCCATTCAGAGACATTTACAAAAAAAAAAAAAAATAGGGGTTCCAATGTCGATGTAAATATGTGAAATGAATCGGGTTTGAGAGACAATCTCTATATCATTTGAATTATTAAATGGCAATATCATGAAGGGTGCTGATAGAAAAATATTTATCATTGAAACAACAAGAGCATTACAATAGGAACCTCCTCAACGAGTCATCCTGGTAATACATATTCCCACTGGAACGTGAATAAGGCTCCTCTTCTTTTCACAGTTTGTGTTTCAGAAGAAGTGAAGTTTGTACCTTTATTTTTTTTCTTAAAGATTTTAATTTACACAATGATTAAGTTCAGTTTTATTTATTAGTCCCTTTGAGTCCTATAGAATTTCTTGACATCATATTTGAACACCTTAAAAACGTTATCTTTGCCTTAAACCAAAAAGAGAAAAGACAAAAACAAAATAATTTTTTTCATATATTCCCATGATAATGATGCATTGATCTGCTCGAGCTGTGTGGCACCCCGAGTCGTTGAGGTCAGCTTCCACAACACTCTGGATAGTGCCAGAGACTATACTTGACAGCCTGTCGCTGCTGTATGTTAAGTCTCCAGTGGCTCCATAAGCAGTACTCAACATAGCAGCCACAGGGTTACCGAGTGCATAAAACTCCATTGCACGCTTTCAGGACAAAAAAACAGAAAAAAAATGTCTTGTAATATTCCCAATATAGTCCATGGGTTCATATGCAGGTCAAAGAGAAGACAGCTTGCTGGTTCAACATGCCTCAAGTCAGCATTGTTGTTCTCTGTGGCGGCAGGGAAAGAGGAGCCTAGTAACTTGGTGCTCCTTCTGTAGTCCGTTCTGATGAAAGTCAATTGTTGATTTGTTTCAAATGACTACTTTGGGGCAGTGAGAGTGGTTTTCTTTCAGTAGACACCCTTTGAATAATATGTACATGTATTCATCTAAATGTACGTATTTTCACATGAATATCCACATGAAAGGTTTTCCTTAAGAATAGTGATGGATTCAGCCGAAGTGTATTCTTGTACAGGGGTTCGCTGTGTGCGGTCTAAGGGGCGCGTATATGTTGTTTGTTTACAGCACAGACTGCCTTGGATACTGTTGTTCATGGTCTCCATCATATATCTAATCATTTCATCACTGGAATAAATCTTTCCAACATTTCAGTTTAGCTACCTGACTCATACTTCGGTGCTTTGCTCATCCGTCTGGTTATTCATAAACAACGGGGCGGCTTTGGCGGTGAGTGTGACCTGACAGGGGCTTGTTTTGTATTACAGCTAATATTTTATATATGTGCATTAAAGAAAGTCATTAATAAACTCTTTGGTTTAACATGCACAGAAAAAGAATCCAGTATTAAATACAACATCTAGAGAAACAGAAGAAAAAAAAAGTCTGAATGTGATTAATTCCGGAACAATAATGCAGGTCTCACTTTGTCAACAGCTTGTGTAATGAATATTTTAATTTCAGTAAGAAGCATCCTGTGCTTCACAAAACCTCTGCAATCTGTCAAGTTACTTGTGTGTTTTGTAATCAAGATATTGTGTTTATTGCATGTCTCCTTTCTCTCCGACACTGCAGGATTTTTCTGCTGCCACTGTGAACAGGAAAGCCATTGCATTGATATCAGACATGCTGAAAACCAGATTAGGCCACAAAGAAACTCTTTTCAGCATTTGCTAAATTACTTTTTTGTCAGTAGGTAGTGAAGGCTTACAGGAGTTATTTCTATGAGCTGCTTTAGAGAGAAAATCAGAATGATCAGTTTCCCACCACACTGCATTACCGTAAGACTTTGTATTTCTGATACCATACCCCTTCAGGTATATTTTGAAAATGTTGTTGATTCATCCATGTACTTATGTGGTAAAACAAGGCCCCCATTGAACCACCTCTCCTGCCCCACTCTTTCAGAAGCTATGGTGAATCACAGGCTTTTCTTCCACCTCTAGCAGCCAGACTCTTTAGCGTCCAAACTTGAGAGTTCCAGTGCGTTCAGGGGGAGGATAAGGGCTGGTGCTGGGGCCTTCAGTTTGTTGCATGAGGGATGGAGGAGGGGACCGGGCCCCTGGCACAGGGCCTCCTATGCTGGCAACCGAGGGCACTGGAGGCGAGGCCACGGTCTGTATTGTGCCCCTGTCACATGGCCCAAGGTCCTCAAGTCCCTCCAGTCCCGGTGGTGGGCCTTCATAACCCATGTTAAGCCTCAGGGGTTGATGGGCTTGGCAGTAGTCTACGATGGGCTGTTCATAGCGGTAAAAGGTTAGGGCACCCATCTGGTGGGGGACCTGAGTAAGGGAAAAAAAGGAGGGCACAGAATGATGTGGTGGAAAAAAAAGGTGAAAGGTAAATGGTGAGAAGAAGAAGTTAAAAAAGGGAAAAAAGAGGAAAAGAGAAAAAAAATTTATTACCAATCCAGTTTTTAAAATGTAAAGACTTCAATTCAATTACTATTGCAAATATAAGTCTAGAAAAATATACATCGATAAGAAAAGTTAAATGAGCACTTTTGATGAATTAACTCTTTTTTTTACTATTCTGATAATCAAGAACATTGTAGAATATTGCAAATACAATATGTAAGGTCTGAGGATATCATAATATGATGCAGTAGTTTACCAATTAACACTTTAATTTCATGAAGATTGTTCTTAAATCTATATATTTAAGAACAGTCATATACATATATATATATATATATATATATATATATATGTGTGTGTGTGTGTGTGAAAAATAACATTTTAATAACATATAAACCCAAATAATATTAAAAAAAATGTGTGTAACTTAAATTACCGAAGCTATATATATATATATATATATATATATATATATATATATATATATATATATATATATATATATATATATATACACATTTTTTTATTTTTTTGGCATTTTAATACATTTTTTCTGCAATGCTTTTAATGGATATTGAGGCTTTAAGACCTCCTGCTCACAGTCAGTTTGGCGGCTCACTGTATATATCCTCACATGGTGACCACCTGAGTCTCCACACAGCCCTAGTTCCCATTTAAAATTTATGCATTTACAAGAATTGCACTTTACAGCTGCAGAAATAGATTTCTTCCTCAAGCTTTATTCTTCTGGGCCATGTCTTCCAATACCCTGATTCACCTGAACTTGCATTTGTACACTAAGCATACAAAACCTCACTTCAAGATAGCAAAACTATGGATGCTTTGTGCTCAAACTCTACTGGAAAAGCTGGAGCCCATAAGTCAGTGCCGTCTCTAGAGCCGTGTTACTTGTATCACAGCCAGTAGCGCTCATCACATCTGTCCATGTGTTTGGGCTTGTGTTCCCTCTGCACTTCTTTACACATTCCAAAACAAGCAGATGACTCTTTGTAGACAATCTGTCTGTCTAACTTTAAATCACACATTTAGTTCCCAATTAGTACATTTTCTAACAGTGCATTAGAAAAGCAGGCTGAGATGGCAGCTGACCTGGAAACAAAAAATCTACAAAAAACACCACTGCAGGCTAACATAGGATAAATCATCTGGTCTGTAAACACATGAGGGGAAGGGAAGCACATGATAACTGTGGAAGCAAAAGATATGATAGCAATACAAGCCAATAATAATAGTTCCTTCTTCTCTCTTGTAAGAAGGCATTGGAAGCGTTTGTCACAACTGCAGCAGAATCTAAATTTAACCTATACATCCTTATAGTTTAAAGGAAAGTTATTAAAGGAAAGCAATGTAAAAATGCCCAGTTTTAAGGAGTTTCAAGCTTCTATAAAATTTGTAAACAAAGTAACTGACACTCATTTTTGTCAGCTGGGTATGTCATTTTTAATTATACCTTTGCACTGTTCATAGTTCTTATAATCCATGTGGGCTGAAAATGACATTCCCTGAATAGCAGCAGAGCTGCTGTTAGGGTTAACTCCTTACATATTTTCCAATCTAGGGCTGTATTGAGGATCATTTCCCCCTTTGCCCAATGTTTAAACCACATAACTCAATTTTTCTCCATCAGAGAAGATTTATGATTCTTTGAAATCCCGGAAAAAAAATTTAATTCTGCTATACACTGGAAACGACTGGAACACTGTCGCTGCACAAGGTAAGTTTAATGTTAATTTTGGCTGACAGAGTGTCGACAAAGAAATGAACACTTTCCAAAAGCTTGGCTGAGGTTTGAAGCTCCATAGATGGACAAGCTTTCGGAGAAGTTGTTGAAGTTGTTATTGTCAGATGAGATACAGACTGAACTGACAAAGACAAAAACTGGGTTTTGAAAAGGCTTTCCAAATGTATGGATTGCCACGCAGTGTAGAAGCAACATCCCACTGAGGGTCTGCTTTGCTCTTCTCGGTACTGGTGCAGTGCACCAGCTACTGTAGTTGGCAAGACTAAAATCATCTCAAATCAGTAGATTATTAAAGCTTGATTACAATTGAGTATTCTTAACATTTAGCTACTGGAAAGGTCAAGCTGAGATGTCGAAAATCAACTATTTTAATCAGGCTCTACCAGTTTTGACAAAAAAAAGTTATTAAATATTCAGTTGGAATTATGTTATATTAGACAATTATTAACAGCTACTGTATACAAAGCAGGTGCACAAGGTCTTAAAACTAGTTGCCACCTGAAAAAATACAAAATGATGATTTAAAATATGACTTCTCATTTATTAGGTCTTAATGCAAAGCTTTGGAACATGTATTAAGGTAGAAAACAAACAAAAAAACAAAACAAAAAGAATCATATTTGTCAACCCTGCCTTCGGACGCTGCTGGGCTTGAGTGGTTCTAAGGAAGTCCATCGCAAATTCTGTGCTGACAAACGTGTTTTGAACCTATATGTATAACTTTAACACCTATGAGAAATGAACTCTAATATAAAATTCAAACAGAATTTTATAACATATGGCTCTCTAAAATAGTGTGTGGAATATTCAAACTAATCACAGCACACACATCAATAGAAAGCGATATCACAGTTTGTATGTCTGGGAGTGAAACAGAAACAGTTGGTTGTAACACAAAAAAGAACTGGAATCAGGAACCCGGAGGCTTATAATTATGAAGTCAACCTGCAGCTTTGTTTCATGAATTAAGCAAAATCCATTCAGTAACTGAGTAAAGCTACAGTCATTGACCTGCTTTAAAGCATTTGTGTCTCTGATAAGTCATTTAGAAAACTTCAATGTCCAAAGATATTTGATCCTTTCAGTCCAACCTTTCCTCTCAACAACACCTGAGCACCTCTAGGAACACCCCCCTGCTTACTTTCTCTAACCCGCTCCCCCTCTCAGATGAACTCCATTAAGCAAGGCTGACTCATTACATTATAGGCACTCAGTGGATTACTCCCCCTCCAATCCCTTTTCAGTTTTTAAACCTTTCAGAAGCCCTGCTTTTCTCACCGCCAGACCATCATCTCCCCTCTCATCAAAAACCTCAGCGCTGTTTGCCTCACCAGGCCAGGAGCAATCAATTAATGAACCTATGTTCGCTCACTAACCATTTCAGCAGATTCCAACAAATCATCCGACTATAAATCTACTCTCGGGCAGGTATTGTCTGGGAGTGAACAACTGTAAATGTTTAATTGGAGAGGGGCTTCGGGACAAGATGAGGAGAAGATGAAGACAGTAGGAGTGTTTTTGAAAATCATGTTCAGCAACAATAACCTTTTTGACATTAGGCATTGCTATACATTGAGCTTTACCCAGAGATTTTTAAAACATGTAACAGATTCCCTCCTGTTCGACAAAACTGACAAAAATGCTTTTCATGTAATTTTCTGTGAACAGAATGTGCTATTTCCATTCAGAGTCCATTGTAGCAAGGTCTAGCTGGCTCATTAGGAATCCTGTCAGCCTTTATGCCTCTCAGTATCAGGACATTAGTAATTCCCTGCACCCTGCAGTCTGTTGACAGTCAAATATGCAAATGATTCACATCTGGTCAGCATACATACACACATTTCTTTTTTGTTTATCAAGTGTCTTGTTTTTTGAAATTAGGTGAAAAAACATAGCAGTGTAGCTGCCATGTTTTTTATCCTCAGCTAAACACTGCCTACGCTGTTTTTTTTTTTACAAATATATTGTTAATTTCTTTTCCATTATGTATGCAATTAAATTCTATTTTTAGACCCAAACTGATTATAAAAATGTCTTAAAAGTACACTTTAATTTTGTTCCAGAAAGTGGAGATCTTTGCTAAGCAGACAATTTTGCCCCATATTGTGACGTATACAAAGAGCTGAAACTCGCACATGATCTCGATCGTTACCAAATCTGAAATTATTGTTCATTGGCAGCAGGTGCACCTCTGCTAAGAAATGTCCTCAAAATCCATTTATACATTTTCAGTTAATCGGTTCAGTTAATCGTTCTAACAAACAAAAAAAACACTCCATTTTCTTGTGTTTTTGTTTTTAGTAAAATATCTCCAGACCTTTTGAGTTTGATGTTGAAACTGTCAATGGTCAATGCTGCCACCCTCTGGTTTATGGGAAACTGCTTGTTCCGCCAAGTATCCCTTTTTTATAACGTAGGAACATTTTTTTTTTATTCCTGTATCCAGATTAATATCTTGATCCTCACAAAAAAATGTATGGACCGTTCATTCCTATGAGGCACCCCTCTGATGAAAATGATGTTAAAATCCATTTTATAGCTTTTCATGTTATCCTGTACACAGACAGACAGACAGAAACAAACTCTCCTAAAAACATAACCTTCTTGGCAGAGGTAATAACAAAACAAACCTTAAACAAAAGGTCTGTTTAAACAATTTATGGGGGCCTGGAGTTGGAGCCAGACACACCATTAAAGTGGAAAAATACACAACAGGCTGATCCAACTTTGCTGTAATGTCCTTAAAACAGGTCAAAATAGGGGCTCAGTATTCTCTTTGGCTTTCACCTGTCTGTATGGCCTCCCTACAATGTCTGGGCAACATACTGATGAGGTGGCGGATGCTCTCATGAAGGTTCTCCTCCCAGATCTGGACCAAAGCATCTGCCAACTCCTGTGCACTCTGTGGTGCAACATGATGTTGGTGGATGGATCGAGACATAATCTCCCAGATGTCCTCATTCAGATTCAAGTCTTTGGAACAGGGGCCAGTCCATAGTTTCAATGACTTCATTTTGCGGGAACTGCTTACACACTTCAGCCACATAAGGTCTAGCACTGTCCTGCATTAGGAGGAGCCCAGAACCAACCACACCAGCATATGGTTTCACAGGGACCTGAGGGTCTCATCTCTGTAACTAATGGCAGTCATGCTACCTTTGGC